TCCTCTCTCAGGTGCCGTCGGTGTCCCCCTTAAAGTCAAAGCCTGCATGGGCCCTCTTCTTGTAGGGATGGACGCGGCTCACTATGAAGCTCGCCGCCACCAGTCCACCGTTGGTCTTCACGCCCTTTATTAGGCCAAGGAGCTCCCTCACCTGCTCCATATCAGCACTGCTCGGCTTCTCCGACCAGCTCTTCTGGTTCTCCGGGACATGGTCGACGTCGCAATGGATGGAAGGATGGCTCTGCTTCATGTAGAACCACCTGGCGTTCCACCTCTTCAGCGACGTATTCAGTGGTATAGTGAGGTACTCGGCTGCCATCCAGTCGTGGAGTTGCAGATACACGCCGCCGACCACCCTGGAACCGCCGCCACCCTTCTTCTTCAGCCAGAACAGATGATGGAAGAGGTTGAAGTGGGGAAGAACTCTGAGATACGTCTCACAGAAATGGATAAAGATAGAGATGTGCAAGATGGTGTTTGGGTGGAGGTTGCATAGACTAACTCTCTAGAACTCCAGCAGATCCCTCAAGAAAGGAAGGATGGGAAATCCTAATCCGTGCCAGAAGTAATCCTCAAAAACTACAGCTTCAACGGTATGAGGCATTGGGTAGGGCTCACCGCTGGTTGGCCACCATACGATGGTGACATGGTCCGGTAGAACACCCGCCTCCACCATCCTGTTGATCTTCGCCTCCCCCATGAGCGACGGCACCGACTCATTGTCAAGGGTGGCTCCGGTGGCCGCCTTCTTCGGGTTTCCAACTCCCCTCTTCGGCGCCATCTCTCAGATCTAGTTTGGGATTGGCAGCGGAAGAGCGTGTGAATCTGTAAGTGCGAGGGCTAAGGAGGAAGATGAAGTAGAAAAGTGGCAAAGGTGGGAGTGCGGGGTGCGATGGCGTAGTTATAAAGCACTCTCCCCACCTTTCGCATTTGAGGGTTTTTTGGAAACCGCTCCACGATTTGCGTCTCTCTGAATTCTCCAAAACAGCGTGGTGGGCCGTTACCTGGGCTTTCGCGCAATTGCAGCCCGTATCGCCCATTTTTTGCTGCAATTTGTTACTGCTCACCAAATATTCGCTGACTTCTCCGCAATACATTAAGGCTCAGTAACTCCTACTGTACAGTCGTTACTCCGGTTTTTTCTCCACGATTTATTTTCTCCAAGATTTCCACTTGTGGCTCAGGGACTGCATCATCAATACGACTTGGTTCCTCACCGCACTGGGGACTTTTTTCTGTTGACTATTGTTTCTAACCCTGACACCACGTGACTACGTCACCTACTGTCAGGTTCGGGGACTAAGTGGGCACACTTCACCTCGCGGTGAGTGTGTTTGCTTTAATCTGGAATACTCCGCGCCTCCTAAAGTTGGAGAAAACTATTTCCCTTTCTCGTGGATGGACTCTAAGTGGGCACACTTGGTCCACTGCGAGAATTCTCAATTTTGGAGTTGAGCTCCTTATATCCTTATGGCAAGCCTAACTTGGGAAACACTACTCGATGACGGTTCACACTGCTCGGCGATGGTTCACAGCTGCTCGGCGATGGTTCACACTGCTCGGCGATGGTTCACAACTGCTCGGCAACTCATCACGGTGGTCGGACCATGAGTTTGACTGCTCAGCTTTGTTCGCACCTGCTTGGACAAGCTCAAGACAGCGTTGCACAACGGATATAAGGCGCTCGGGGATTAGCTGTGGGGGGTACGACCCCGGATACCCATGGTAGACCACATGGGTTGTGCCCCCAGGGCACAACGCTGCTCGGCGCGTCCCGTAAGACACCGGGAAGATATCCTGAAGATACTACGAGATCTGTTAGGATACGTATGATCCCATGATTCCTGTAATATGTTATTACTTTTCGGTTATCTCCTAGATCTAACCGACTTGTAACCCTGCCCCTCGGACTATATAAGGCGGGCAGGGACCCCCTCCAAAGGCACGTAATATCATACGATAGCCAATACAATCCAACAGACCACATGAGTAGGGTATTACGTCGTGCTGACGGCCCGAACCTATCTAACTCGTGTGTCTCTATTGCCTTCTTGTTCTCGATTACACGCATCTCTACCGATCAATCTACCTTCGTGGGATACCCCTCGAAGGATTGTCGATGATATTCTATCGACACGTAGGCTATCGGTAGCTTGAGTAACCTACCATTACTCACAATAGGTGATTATTATTATCACTCCTATGATAAAATAGTGAAAGGAAATGGAGACCGGGCAGGGATATGGTACGAGTATTGGTGGATGTAAGAGGTTGTGTCCCGCGGCCAACAGGGCATAGCTTGGTTACACTATTTTTCCTGTCCATGTCGGTTAAGGACCGGCCGTTGCATTGGATTCTAGTCAGGTCACATACTTATTTATGGGAGCAGAGAAGGCTCGTTGCTCTCTTGTCGTGGGTTCCAGCTCTTTCCGGACCGACTGATTGGAGGCGGGGATGGTGGAGGTCTAAGCACCACACTGAGTCTGGGACTCAGGAATGGGGGCTTAGAGTCCAAGTTTGAACGGGGACCTTGACCCCTTGACAGGAGAGTGGTGGGTTGGTCCTGCTTGTGCTTGGGGTACAAGCGGGGTGTGTGTTTTGGGGTACCCAGCTGGGCTACATTGATTCACGAATCGCTGTATAATACGGTATGACTTGTCTACGATCTAGCACTGTAGTAAGAACTGGAAGATGAAAGGGAATGAATAGATCTGATTGCTCAACTCTTGCTTGAAAGTAGAACAGGTGCTTACATAGAATGGTTAGTTAATGAACTAATCATGACTGCTAATAAAACACATACCTAAGGATTCACTACTAGTATTGCTTTTTGCAAAAAGGAAACCCCACAAACCAAAAAGCTTATCATATCCTTTGGAGTCGGGAAATTATTCTCACTAGTCGGGTAAGTCTTGCGAGTACATTGTGTACTCAGGGTTTATTTACCCCTGTTGCAAGTGCAGCTTGAGGAGTGATTGTTGTGTGGAGGATTCTTCTGGTGGGCACAAACGGATCCTTCTATCTTATCGCTAGATGTTTATTTCAATTTCGCTGTTTAAATTCCACACTCTGAACTTGGTATTGTAATAATGTATTTCTAAGAACTCTTGTTGTATGAAATGGACTAAGAATTGTAAACTCGTTCTCATTATTTGATCCTGGAGGAAAAAAAACATGGATTGTTCGAGTTCTCCCTTGGGGTGTGCTCGACGAAACCGTCCGATATAGCTTGCTTTCGGGGTGCTTAGTGTCTGGTGAAAGACGAGCGCCTCCGAAGGTGTGTTATTTCGGGCGGTTCTGCCACACAACACAAGGTGGGGCCAATAGAAGTGTGTTGCTGCTTGTTTTCACTGAGACATTCATATTGACTGCTGGAATTGAAGCGCTTACTTCATTTCTTATTTTTTGGCAAGACATCAGGGTTGATTGGAGTTGTAGAGTCGCCGACTAGAGCCAGTTGTTCACTGTGATGGCTATCCTTGCATGGCAGTGGATAAAGGTCGGGGAATTCCCCGCAGAGAATTCCTCCAATGGGGTCGGGGATGGAGACGATTTAATCCCCACGAGGATTGAAACGGGGAAAAATTGGTCCCCGTCAAGTACGTTGGAACCATCCCCCGTCCCCTGTCCCTGTGTACCTGTCCCACGAACTCGTTTTTACTCTAAATTAGTCTCATGGCATGTTAAAATTCTAAACTCGACACATAGCCTAGTATAAATAGCGAATTAAACCCTATAATAGATGTCCCTTGTAATATGAAATCTTGCTTGTTCAATTATATTGATTTGACACCATGAATATGCTTCTGCTCTTTAAATATTGCATTTTGTTTGTAATGGGGATGGGTTCCCCGTGAGGATAATTCCTCGCGTAGAGACAGGGATGGGAGGAAAAGCTCCCCCATGAGCGTTCAGGTGGTAGGGACGGAGAATTTTTCTCCTCGCTGGGACGGGGATGGCGAGCCAGTGCCCAATAGCTACTTGCCTTGCATGTCAATGGCTTGCTCGGTATGGGAATGGGACATCATGTTTAACAGTGGCACAAGCAATGACAATGGTGTGTCGACTTGGAAGTTTCATCGTCCGATGTTGGGCTGGTTACAGAATGACATCACTTGTGCCTTCTTTCACTAAGGGGACCATGGTGTGGTTTGCTGGTTATGAATTGTACTGGTCAAATTTTCTTAAGTTTGACTTGATTTGTATAAATTATTAGTAACACTACTATTTCTAAATAAATTTATTATGAAAATATATTTAACAATTTATCTAATGGTACTAATTGTACACCATAAATACTAGTATTTTCATATATATATTTAGTCAAAGTTGAAAACGTTTAACTTCTCAGGAGTGAGAATGACACTCTTTCCGAACGGGGGAATAGTTCATAGTTGCTTTTGTTATTAGGTCATGTTGCTTAGTTGTAATTCGGCTGTTTTGCGCAGTCCGATTCATCTTCTTTTTTATATAAAAGGCAGCTCCCTATCCGGTTCGTGAAATAAAATAGAGTAAGAAAGTGGCCAGCAGTGATAGTTCTTCCAATGATCAAACGAAAAAACCATAGAAGACCACACTGTGTTTGGCTATTTTGGCCTAACTCTTCTTCTCTTGATGCAATGATATGCAGTCCTCCTACATATTCGAGAAAAAAAAATAGAAGACCACACCCAGATTATGAAGTAAGCTCGCTGCTTGACACAGAACCATTGGGCAAGTTCAGTGCCTATATATACTCCAGGGTTCAAAATTGCAGCAAAAAATTCAGATTTCTCAAATTTCATACATTTCGGTCCTGAACGAAAGAAACTTCGGCCCCCCTAAAAGCGCAACTGTTCATCGCAAAGTACTGTAGTACAAAACTTTATTATAAGTTTCAGACAATTTGGCGTTTCTCGCTGGCAATTACTGGAGCAGACGCAAACTGAATCCATGCTCGGTGATGATATATTCTTACTGGCTAAAACGGAATGAGATCCTGTGCAGACCTTCGTTTTACCTCAGTCAGCATTCGCGACCGGCTCGAATGCCTGAAGCCCCTTAAACTTCTGCCATGGCCTAAGCCACACCTTCGCCTCATACAGCTTGTTGGCGCCGCCGTCGACCTTCCTCGCCTCGATGGTCAAGTAGTTCATGGTTCCGGTCACCAGCTGCATCCTCACCTTCACGAGGCTCACGAACTCCAGCGCCGCGTTCTGCACGCAAGCAACCCAGGTGTCAGATACGTACGTTGCGTGCAACACCACGACGATCACAATTCACAATGCAAGGGCGTCAATATCACGTAGGCAATGCAAATAGAGGGATTCGCGGCGATCGTCTCTCTGTAGACTGTAGTGTACCGTACCGTCTTGCTGTTGTGTTCGGTGACGGCGAACCGCGCGAGGTCGATGGCGTCGGGGTTCTTCTCGCGGTCTGGCGCGTCATGGACGCCGCCAAACATGGGGAGGGAGGACCTCCGAACCCGTGGCCGCCGTGGCGAAGCGAGATCGTGATGCGCATCTCTCTCGCGAGTGGAGGCGGGGCCGGGGCGGGTCTCGGCGCGGGGATCCGGCGGCATCTGGTCCGTCGTCCCTGCCGCGGTCGCGTAGGCGGAGGAGAAGCGGGACCAAAGAGCGCCTCCCAATAAAACAAGAACAAAAAAGAACAAAAAAACATAAGGTATGTTCTTTTAAACTTATCATTCAAATTTATAATATTTTTCTCTCATAGCAAAACAGCTTATCAGTCGACTTTAATAACAGCCGACCAGGCCCAACAGCAACAACAACTGGCACCGAAGAGCAGCGAGACAAGACGGGGGGAGAGGCAGGCGTCCCCTGGCGGCGGCGCCGGCGCCGCCGAGCGCCGACCTCTGGACTCCAGGAAGAAGCGACATCCGCATTTCTCTCGAGCGGATGCGGAGGCGGTGACGGAACGAGATTGCGAGAACGATTGCGTCGCTCGACTCTCTCTCTCTCTCAAGACGCTGGGCAGAGAGATCCATCGGCAGGGCCCGGCAGCCCTCGACCCAACCCAAACGGTGGGTGCACGCTATAGCCCGCCGCGAGGAACATACGGCCTGTTCGCTGGTTGATTTCTGGATTGGTTTGGGCTGACCGGTACTGATTTGTTGTGAGAGAAAAACACTGTTGGCTGGCTGGTTTGGGCAACCAGCGAACAGGGTGATAGATGCAAGACGTAACCCGCCCACAGTGTGTCCCCTTGTGATGGCAGCCTTGTGCAGTGCAGCCCAGGAAGCAAGCATTCTGTTCGCGGGCCTACACGATGGGCTTTCAGATCTGGTCTGATTTTTTTTTTCTCTACGTCTTTGTTTTTACGACTTTCTATCTGTGAGCCTGAAATTGCGTACTTTCGGCCCTGTTTGGTTGAGCTGTGGCTGTGGGAGAAAGCTGTTGTGGGCTGTGAGCTGTGGAAAAGCTGTTGTGGGCTGTGAGCTGTAGAAAAGCTGAAAGCTGTTTGGTTAAACAAGTATAAAATATACCTTTTATCTTTATCTCTCTTGAAACAACTATGGAAGAGCTTTTTATTCCACCAATTTTGAAAAGCAGAAAGCCAAAAGCCAAAAGCAGGGTCAAACCAGCTTTCAAAAATAAACTACGGAAAAGCAGCTGCTTCTGAAAAAGCACCCTCCAAAAACAGCCCCTTTGGTTGGGCTTTTGGCTTTTGGAACCAAAAGCCAAAGCCAAAAGCCCAACCAAACATGGCCTTCATCAACTCCAAGTAGTCAGCTTGACTTCTCATATGATTGTGTTGCGATGTTCCACTCTAATATGTTGAACGGTCGAAGCAAAAAAATGCCAAGAATTCCCCTAAACCTACTGGGCGATGAACTGATGATGGGTGCCAGACAGCCAGCTGAAACGAACACTTACGGCATGTTTGTTTCCTGCTAAAGTTTAGCTACTAAATTTTATAGTCACTTTAGCTACTAAACTATCAAACAAACTAATTAAAAAAAGACTAAAGTACCTTAATCACATTAGTACCCTAATGATGTGTTAAAGTGGGCTAAAGTGTCTCGTGAACAGAGGCTACCTCCCATTATTGCTGGTCTACTATCCTTATTTTTGAACTGCTTTAATAGTCTTTAGTCACTTTTAGTTAATAGAACTAAACATGAGTGACTAAAATTTAGTTATTGATTTTAATAGCTATGGCTAAACTTTAGTCCTACGAAACCAAACGGGACCTCGATGGAGCGCGAATTAGCGGCACTAGAAACTCAGCCTGGGCGTTCGGTTTTAACCGACCGTTCGGTTCGGTTTTTTCGGTTTTTCAAAATTTCGGTTTCCAGAAAATAACTCCCGATCGGTGCTAAAATTCCAAAAACCGACCAATTTCGGTTTGGTTTTTCGTTTAAAAACGAATAAACCGAATATCAGACAGGACTTAGAACTGACAGTACAACACAGTACAAACTTGCACAGCACAGTATATTATTTGAAGACTCAAGACTGTTACAAACTTAACGATTCAATGCTCAAATCAAATATTATAAATTTACAGTTCATTCTTGATAATAAACCATAGTACTCCACCAGTTTTGATAAACAACAGGAAAAAAACAGGTTTCTCGGTATTTCGGTTTTTCGGTTCGGTATGGCATAGAAACCGAAACCGAACCGAACTACCGAACTTCACAGAACTGGAAACCGAAACCGAACCGAAAAACCGAACTACCGACTATTCGGTTCGGTTTTGGTTCGGTGTTCGGTTTTCGGTGAAAAACTGCCCAGGCTGACTAGAAACCAAAACCAGCTAGGAACGCGGTGGCGACGTGGTCGTCCACGTCCACCGCTACCTACCCTCTGAAGTCTCGAGCATTCAATCAACCACTACTACTTCCGGCCCGGCGTGCAGCGGACGCCGTAGCCATCGGGGAGCAACGACGACAGCGACGGCAAGTCGTCACGTTCCCTCCCCCTGACCGGGCCACGCCACCGAACCGCACTCATTTCCCACGCGGGCCGGCCTGGCAAGTGGCACATCTCCCCATCACGGTAGGCTCGCGAGTTGATCGTTTGACTCGTTGTACGCGCGACCGACGCGACACGGTCGTTTCTGCTACTTTTTGCGAAGCCGCAGGACACCGACGAGGACGCCGCGGGCCCGCGGCCGGCGTTGCCCCGCCGCCGCCCCCACCCCCAAGGAGCGCTGCACCGCGGTGCCAATGGACAGCGGCGACTGGGGTTAATCAGCCGCGCGGTGGCCTCCGCCGGCGACGTGACTGCGATATGTGCGGTGGGAAGTGGCCGAGTGGGGAAGGGGAGGTCGTACTTCGCCGTGGGTCTGTAGCCTATTCCTTTGTAGGTGAGCAGCCGGGCGTTGGCGGGTCGATCTCCACCCAGAATATCCGGCGGCGCGCGACGCGAGTTTATTCCTGGCTTTTCTTCCGCCGCGGAACGTGTCAAAGGCGTCGCGTTCTTTTCCGTTCCCCGGGTAATATGGTCCCGCGGGAGCGTGACGGCTTCACGGAAGGAATCCAGGCCGCTGATGATGCTCATCGTTTGGTGTCGTCGCGTGCGTGCGTCTCTTTGAGGGAAAAAATTGGTACACAAGAACACAGTTTCGTACGTATGTGCGCCGTATCCGGATAGCAGTTTGTAGCCGAGCAGAGTGACGGAGTGTCTGCATTCCTGACACGGAGTTTCTACAGGCAACGAAAAGGTCTGTACCCCTGAAGCTTGACACTCTAGTACATTCAGGTGAGCCTTTTATTGTGTACTAAGTACGACTACTTGGGTTTTTTCCCTACCATCAGCCTGTTCCGTTTGGTCGTATTTGGCTTATAAGCCATAGCTTATTAGCCAACAAATAATATTTTTCTCTCACACTAAATCAGTCAATAGTATTTTCAGCCACGGTTTATAAATCAAACCCGCCTGAACAGGACGAATTATTGATATGACTGGTTGCTGTCATTGTCTCAGAGAAGTCGTCTGATGCATCCAAGCCAGCGCAATTCGGCAGGCGAGGCAATCATATTCGACCTAATCACAGAGGAAATTCAGTTAAAAAATCAGAGAGAGTTGCACTGGAATAAGCAATTAAAGCAAAAGATCACGGGACTTGGCCGTTGCTGTGACTCTGTCGTCTGTGAGGACACGCTGTCGGTCAGAGCTTGTCACTGTACAACCACGGATCAGCGACCTTTTTTTTTTCTTTTTCTTTTTCTTTTTCTTTTTTTTTACTATCGTTTTCCTTCTGCCTCACCGAGTGTCCGGGCTTGCGGTCCAGACCAACGGCCTCTTAGTTTGTTAGTTTCTGGGCGTAGGTTAGTTGTTGGGCTGGTTTTGGTTATAAGAGAAAAACATTGTTGACTGATTGGTTTGAGCTAGCTAAAACCAACAAGCGAATAGGGTGTAAGTCTAACAACCTGTGCGCACACGACATGGTATGTGATCCAAGAAGATGACGGCGCATGTGTAATCCATTGGAGACTTGGCCCGCTACTATCGCCGGCAATGGAGTCATACAGCCTGGTTGGTAGGGATGATGGCTGTAACATTTCATTCTACTAGTACCAGTGTTGCAACGAAATACACATTTTACACATAAAAAATGATTTGTAGCTAAAAGATTTATATAATGGAGCATCATCTGTTTTAATATGTACTGAAATTAGATTGTGTCATTGTTGAACGCACAAATATCACCGTTTTAACTCGTATAAGCAGGGATCACAAATTCAAATCCTAAACGATACATGGCCCTGTTCGCTTGGCTTATAAGCCATACTTTTTCGAACATTATTTTTCTCTCACAACAAATCAATCACCAGTACTTTCAGCTATGATTTATCAGCCAAGTGAACAGGGCAACAAGGAGACACAAAACATTGTGAGAGACAAAAGAATATGGGGAAAATCTCTTCAAGATGTATAGTATAAATACAGATAGAGATAGCTGTTGGGGCTGTTTGGAGAGGCTTGAGGCAGCTACAGCTGCAGAAATTGTTTATACCAAAGTGACCTATACAGATATAGATAACTAATAATTATTTTACTTTAATTATTGTAGCTGTTTGGGGAGGCTGCAACAGCTACAGCTGCAGTAGCTATCTATACATACATGAGACAGAAGAAAATCTGCAGCAAAAGGTAGCACTTCACCTATTTCCGTCACAGTTTTATGCTACCTGGACATATTACGAAAAGAAGGGGATTTGGACACCCGTATCAGCAGGACACCAGGTCTTGTTGTCACCTCTGGAAATCCTGAGATGATCCACCGATCTATGCAAAATGTTTATTTGTCTTGGAAGATGAAATTCATGTAAAATGTAAGCATGCATCAAGTATTTAAGTCTCTTTGGCCCATGGCAACATACCAAGGATGTTTTTATTAAATCCTAAAGAAAATGGAAACATAGCAAATTTCTTTTTGGAGAAATGGTTCTAAATGCTCTCCTTGCTAATTATTAGTTTCACGAAATTAGTG